TGTATGTTTAGAACAGTCATCTAAAAACTGACGCTCTTCTTTAGTTATTCCCCCCCCCCCGCCTGAAGTTAACCCCCCCCCCCCCCCCCCAACCAACTTCGAACTGATCTGTTAGGTACATTTGGGAAAACGTGTAATGAGGTACCAAAGTACCATGCCGCCAGAATCATAGCTTTTGAATCAGGTACAGGTAAAACTCTGTACATATTGTTTTTGCAATTACCAGTAAAGAGGTGTGTGATCAATACAGTGATCCAACCCATACCTTATCATTATGTTAAAAATTATCTTTAAAGAACACAAAAAACAGTAGCTAATAAAAAATGAATAATCTTAACTTCAAAACCAATTAATATATGAAGTTTATTATTCAGAATGTTCCACCTACTCGATTTAGTTTTTCTCTAATTTTGAAAAGTTTGATTTTATACCACCTCTGATTCCAGATTTTTTTGTATTTGGCTGTAATATTTTAGCATTTATGATGAGAATATATTTAATTATGATTGCAGACAACATATTTTTGTCAAAACAAATATTGTTAAGCTACTTTATTACATACTCAAGTAATTATTGATCTGTTTTGACAATTACAATTAAATTTGTAGAAATACACATATCTATATTAAGAGACTGATTATTTCCCCTAGTTCGCCTGTCTTAATCAATATTCTAGAAATGATAATGTCAAATTGTTTTTTTTTACAAGGATTACAAAACAGATTGTGTTGCGTTCATTGGTTTTGGTTGTATTGTATGTATATATTTATATTTTAGGGTGATAAAGTGTGTTATTGTGTCGGCTTACATTGTGTTTTTTTCTTGTTTCTTCAGAGTCCTGATTTCAATTTATTTTACATCATAACGAAGCAATGACATACAGCTAGTATATATATATATATATATATATATATATATATATATATATATATATATATATATATATATATATATATATATATATATATATATATATATATATATATATATATATATATATATATATATATATATATATATATACGTTTTTCAAGAGTTTTTTTTTTCTTTTTGAGGTTGTAATATTTATTTTCACAATGTGAATTTAATAACTTCAAACAGTTTGAAAATCGATATATTATACATTGATTAAATATAAACATGTTTACCTTCACGCTTTGAAAATATTCAATCCAAATAATTCTCTTACCTGAGTCCGTGAAATAAATTATTAAAATATATCCAAAGAAAGCGAAAAAGAACAGTAACTATTGTTGGCGCAGACGACAAACAACAACAGCCAATCGGTTTCCGGTAACTGATGTCAGTCTAGGTATCGAATTCCTTGTCCCCGAATTGGGAAAAAAAGGAGAGGTTGGCGCAGGAGGAGTGGTGACCTAAGCAGGTCACGCTTACAGGTAACACCTCACCTCTCCTGGGCTATCCGGTTGCCGCGTATCAGCCCATCGTCTGGGTGAAGCAGCTGACGGGGGAGGGCGTGGGAGTGGGGGGTCGGTCGGCGTGAGTGGTGGCCGTCTGGGAAAGGTCAGTGGGTGCAGTTTCATTCATGCTGACTCATATAGTGCAGTGACATCGCTGCTCTGTCGTAGGCAGTGGAGTAGGCAAGGGGGGTGGGAAGTGGGGGGGGGGGGGGGGTTATAACCCCTCCCATGGACTCACCCGTATATATATATATATATATATATATATATATATATATATATATATATATATATATATATATATATATATATATATAGGCATATATATATAGGCATATATATATAGGCACATATATAGGCATATATATATATATATATATATATATATATATATATATATATATATATATATATATATATATATATATATATATATATATATGTATATATTTACACACACATTTACATACGTGTGTATGAGTGTGTATGAATTCTCTTTGCCCGATACCTTAACAACACTAATAAATCTCACATTCTCACCGTTCCCTGATTAATATCTAATTAATCTAGAAAAATGTTGGTCTGCTTTCAAATGTTTACCTTTTCTACTCTATTCTTTTCTCTTCAACCCAGCCTTACACGTGATTTCGCACCTGGGTTAGCGTAGTGGTTGGGATCGCACTGTTTCATAAAAATTAAATTACGTCAGTTTTCTTTTTTTATGTCTCTTGCTCAATTTGATTGTACGAGTTTTATGATAATTTGGGTGTGCCGAATTAAAATTGAGAAAAAAAAAGTGAAGTCGAGATTTTCTAGATGTAATGTTGAGATAATGAAGTTACACATCCTTTATAATCTAGTCGATAATTGTGTGATAAACCCACGCTGAAGTTCACGTTAAAATCTGTGTTCACCATACGTTATCCAGCATTGTCGTTTAGAAACCCACCTTCGTCATCTTTTCCCTTATTAATTTGGGACAGATGAAGTAGAGTTCATCTGTTTTAATAACTTCGGCATGCAGGCGGCTTCTGTTGTTAGCACTATGCCCAACCGCCTTTACTTCCTTAACGTGAGCTGGGTGGTTAGGTACGTCCTAGCGATTCGAGCCCGGGATCCGAACCCGTGACTTTTGGGTAAGTAAGTGTAAGCTCTTCTATCCGACCACACCGTCCCCGCCAGCCCACCTTACGTGTCTATAATATTCTGTCTTTCCTTCAG